TCAGAGAGTTTATGCCGCGACTATACAATTATATTCTTTATTTATGGCCGACAGACGAAATGGCGGAAAAAATTATAAAACTAACGAGAGAAACACTGGAATACAGAGAGAAGAACAATCTCTTGAGGCCCGATTTTATGAATATACTTTTAGATCTTAAGAAACATCCAGAAAAGATTGGCCTTGGTTAGTTATTATAGATTTATTACGCAGAAAAAGAGTTTATAAAAGAAGTTCATAATTCTGGTATCTTTTTTTTAATATTTATTCTTCTAAAGTTTTTATTTCAAGTTTATTTATTGTCCTTGCTTAAATAAAAAAAAAGCGGGGGAGGAGGAAAATGAAGTTACCAATTGACTTTGTTTTACAGAGTTATTTAAATATTTTATTTTTAACGATATAATTGCTTAAAATTGAGCTAATCGCATACGCGTACTTAACTACTACTAAAGTAAATCTTAATAATTTTAAATGGAAAAACTTTTTTATCTGAAAGAAAAGATACTAGTCTTTGTGTGTTTATAATAATATTTATAATAATTATTCTGTATTCAAAAATTAATATATTATCCATTTCTCTACTTCGTTTTATCCTATTTTAGAAATAACAAATGAATTTTTGGCGGCACAAGCATTTATTTTCTTTGTTGCCGGTTTCGAAACTTCATCATCAACGATTAGCAATGCTCTTTACGAATTAGCTTTGAATCCTGATATTCAGGACAAGTTACGAGAAGAAATCAAGGAATTCGCAGCAAAAAATGACGGAGAATGGAGATACGAAACCATAAAGGAAATGGAATATTTGGGAAAAGTTTTTCAAGGTGAATATTATTGAATAGTTTTCTTAAATTTTTCTAATTTCAAATCAAGATTTAAATTTCATTTCGTGTGTATAATTATTTTTATTTATATCTCACTTTATAGCAAGTATTAATATTCGCGGGACAAGAATTTGAAATGTCAATCCTAGAAATAATAGTTAATATATTTAATATTGTTCATCTTATTAAATTAATTTTCGCTCGTTTTGGTTACTAGAATCTTCAAAAGTATTAGTATCCCACTAACATATTAATATTTTGAATAATTACCCAT